TGAACTCCCTTCAGATACCTCATTGCCTTTAGCGGCCATCTTTACCCTCCTCTAAACAGTATATAACCTCTCCCTCCTATGAGTTTCTGGAACTGTGGCTCTTTAGGAATGCCTGTCAGCTCTTACCTTTTATTAGCTGCCTATTAACAGGTCTTCTCCATTCCACCACACCACAGGCTATACGTTCTTTTAGGTCATCTCCCGAGAACTGCACACAGTGGGCTTTCGATTGGTGTCACATCTAGCTGAGCACAAAGCATGGCACTGGGATAGCTATGTCAGCGGACCCAGGATGTTTTCTGTCAAGCAATTTGAATTTCTTACAGAACAGTTACTAAAATATTAATCACATTGGTATGTGTGTGCACATCAATTCCACTTTAGAAGTAGAAAACCTACTACAAAATTTTTTTAAATAGTTTCTTATTACTACATGCTTATTGTAGAAAAACTAGAATATACAGATATGAAAATTGAAGCTATAACCTTACGGCCCAGAAAAAAAGAAACACATTTTAAATTAGATCCTTCTTCTCTTAGTTAGACAGATATACATAACTATGTTTTGGGATATAAATATTTCAAATGGGATAATGGCATGTATGCTGTTTAGTTGCTTTTTCCCACTTAACATACAGTACAAATCTTCTGTAGGTCATTGAACATTATTTTATAACCTACATGTTTTGAATGTATAGTATTCCAAATATATATGTACCATAATTAAGTAATCTCTTATCTTTCTTGCTTTCATTCTTTTAAATAATGCTGCAAAAAAAAAAAAAGAAAAAGAAACCCAAGTTGCTGAATGTTCCCCCATATTTCTCATAAAACAGCAGTGCTTTTTGACTAGTTGAACAAGGTTTTTGACTCTAAAATGTTTCCACCTCCACAGCTACAGTTTTGCCTATATCACTGATTACTTAAAAAAAATTCATACTGGGGCACTTGGGTGGCTCAGTTGGTTGAGCATCCTACAACTCTTGATCTCTGCTCAGGTTATAATCTCCCAAATGGGAGACTGAGCCCCACATCCAAGCTGTGCTGACAGCACAAAGCCTGCTTGAGATTTGGTCTCTCTCCCTCTCTCTTTGCCACTCCCCCTCTCTTTAAATAAATAAACTTAAAAAAATTTTTTTAAATAAATCGATACTGAGAGACTGTTGCATCAAATAATAAATGTGCTTCCACTCCTTCCAATGAATTTGCCAAACTCAGCAATGTGAACTTCTCAGGATCTTCACCTTATCGGGAATACCATTTTAAAACACTTTTCCTTGGGGCACCCTTAAGCATCCAACTTCGGCTCAGGTCACGATCTCACAGTCCGTGGGTTTGAGCCACCATGTCGGGCTCTGTGCTGACAGCTCAGAACCTGGAACCTGCTTCAGATTCTGGGTCCCCCTCTCTCTGCCCCTCCCCTGCTTTCTGCCTCTCTCTGTCTCTCAAAATAAAATAAAGACATAAAAATTAAAACAAAACCAAACCCAAAAAAACCTTTCCTTGCACAGCATTCCGAGATCAGTCTCCAGAACCTGCCCAACTCCCTACTTGGTTCCCCTAGTCTCTTGCTGACCAATCTTCATCTACACTTCCCTCTCCCCTGCCTTTCCCAGACCTGTTGTTTGTGCTGGTCCGCTCACATCGTATGAAGGCTTTGCTGTAACACCGAAATCTGCCTAGTTAGTATTTTATCCCCTTAGATTCTTACAGCCAAAGTGTCAACCAACTAATCTGACAAGCTAATCCATGCTGATGTAAAAGGGTTCACCCCCCAGCAACATGTGCTCTGTATAAGGAATACATAGTATCTACGTCTGCAATGCATTTTATTTACCTTAAAGAGCAGTGGTTCCCAAATTCTACTGCATATTGAAATCACCGGGGGAGATTTTAAAACTACTGATGGCTGGGATGCACCTCCCAGAGATTCTGAAGAAATCTGGTATAGGATAGAACTTAAGCATCAGGATTTTTCAAAAAAAAAATTTTTTTTAATGTTTATTTATGAGAGAGAGAGAGAGAGAGAGAGAGCAAGTGGGGGGCGGGGGGGGGCAGAGGGACAAGGAGACAGAATCTGAAGCAGGTTTCGAGCTGTCAGCAGAAAGCTCCTCGCAGGGCTAATGACCTGAACCACAGTCAGAAACTTGACAGACTGAGCCACCCAGGTGCCCCCAAGCATCAGGATTTTTAAAGCTCCCTAGGTGATTTTAAAGCAGCATCTGTGTTTGAGAAGATTTTAGAGAAAGATCTTCAGAGGCACCTGGTGGCTCAGTTGGTTACGCGTCCGACTTCGGCTCAGGTCAGATCTCATGGTTCATGTGCTAACAGCTCAGAGCCTGGAGCCTGTTTCAGATTCTGTGTCTTCCTCTCTCTCTACCCCTCCCCCACTCATGCTCTGTCTCTCTCTGTCTCAAAAATAAATAAACTAAAAAAAAAAAAAAAAGATTTCCAGTATCTTCTTCTTAGGTAATATTGGAGGACCCTCCCCCCCAGGAAAAAAAGCACAATGAACATAATCTCAATAATCTGACTCACCTGCACAGAGTAAAGGAGAGAAGAATGGGCATGAAGGGGTGAAGCATTTGCCAATGACACAGAATAAAAGTAGCATTCATATTTCTCGATGCTGGGCATATGCCTACTGTGTTAAGAAGTAGGCCACACTTCACTTCTGAAGTAGCTTCCATTGCTTTTGTAATTGAGCAAGTCAGCTCTAACTAAAATTATTTGGGTAACAAACTTCATGCCAAGCGATACACTGGTAGCTCACCAGGTTTCAATGAGATAAGTCACTTCCACTTCACATTTGCTTTATTGTTTCAACAAAGCTGGGCAATCCCACAGATTTTCATAATCCATAGTGGGCCTCTCAAGCAGCTCTTAGAAGAAAACTACAAGTTCCAGGCACTTAAATGCATTGCTAAACCTCACAGCAACTTTGTAAGGTAGACATTAACCCTATTTTACAGGGAAAACTTGAGGACCAGTTAGTAAGGCCAGTAATAATTACCTGGCCTCGCTGCCAGTAAGTAGCCTGGCTGGGATGGGACTCTGGATGGGAGGCAGGACTCTACCTGTCATGCTCTTATTTGCTTACAATGTGTCAAGTCACATTGCCTTTTCCCCAGGACAATGTGAAGTGACGTTGGTAAAAGGCTTTACTGGGTAGAATCTGCTTCTGTGTGGTGTGAATGATCTTTCTAATATTTCACAATTTGGAAGAAAAGTGAGGACAGCCACTTCTGCGCAAACTCACGCTCAAGCCATAGTGTCAGGTGAGGATATTCAGTTGCTTCATTTATCCTGTGACCTGGCTTTACACTCCTTATCATTCCCAAACACCAGCTAAGGGCACCTTCTATATAGAGGACCATAGTGTCCAAAGGCCTTGCCCTTGATGTGGTGACAGCCTATAGTGGGGGAAGAAAGGCTTTTCTCCAAACCTGGCTTTTCCCAAATTATATCATGAGGAGGAAGACTTCTTTGGTGACCTGAAAACTAACCATCTCTGCAGGCAATATAACAGTTTTTCATGTTTTTCTTATTCTTCCTACTATTCTTATTGTTGAAGGCCATTATAACCCACCCAGGGTAAATGCCATTGTACACCAGGACCTTTGAAGGTTATCACTCCCAAATTACAGAATCTCTTAAGAGAGGGACTGTAGGGTTTCCTATGCGAAGACTGCCTTTCCTGAAACAAATGGTAGAGAAGGGGATGGTCGCTCTCCACCATGTCAACATTACAGCAGGCAGGCAGGCAGGCAGGGGATCTGTAACTGCAGAGACCATTCCTAAGGGACAACAGGGGACTCTGGGGTTGAAAACATGGCTGGATTTAAGAAAAACAAATCCCTGGTAGGAATGTGCTACCATACCCTACTTAAGGGGCTTTTTGATAGGACAGAGCCTCAGAGCCTCTGCGATCCTACACACAGAATTGACAGGGAGGAACATCAATCAGCCCTCTGGGGGCGTGGGGGGATAACCAATTTTTTTTCCCTCTTCCTTTAGTCACTCCTGAAAAAACGAGCTTACAAAAACAACCGGCGATTGAGGAAGGTTAGAATAATAAGGCTCAGCTTTGGCTGCGGATTGTGGTTCAGATTTTAGATTCTCTGGCACTGAAATGAATGTCTCTTACTAGAGAATAAACTACAGTTCTATTTTACGGTCTCTGGGGAAGAGATGCATCCCCACGATACAACAGACAGAAATGTGACCCACCAGGGTAAAGCAGGAGTATCCCGGCTCAGGCAAAGATTATGTCAACACCCTAGGACGTACAACAAATGCTGCAGGGCAGGCAGAAGAATGCCTCGTCCAAGAACAGCGGCCGCCGCCCCCCTCCACCGCCTCTTCTCCAACCAGCCGGCCAGGCCTCCAGGCCTCCTTCTTGCGCTGAGCTGATAAGCACCACGCTTGAAACGCGGTTACTCAGGTGCTTAGACGAGCCCAGCCTGGTGCCCTCGGGTACTGTGAGCTCCACTGACCGAGGCCGGCGGGAGGCCGCCCGTGCCCGCTTCTGCTTTTAAGGTGGCTGCATTACCAGGAATCAGAGACTGTCCTTCCCACCCCCCACCCCACCCCCGCCTTCCTAAAACATCTAACTCCCTCTCTCCTGGCCCCTACAAAAGAATGGAAATGGGGGAAGTGTGGTTTCTAAAATGCCCGTAAGGTGGTGTTTTGACGTTGCAAAGTAAGAAGGATGGGGACGCGTTCAGGACAGACGAAGGGTTAAACAGTTGTCAAATCCTATTCAAGAACTTCACCTTCTCGATCCCCAACGCAGGCGAGAAGACGCAGATCTAGCCCGCTGCTAGCGAGGAGGCTAATGCGACACCCTGAAAAAAAGCCCGACTGAACCACCTTAAAAATCGATCGCCTAAATGCTACAGAAAAATAGGCGTTCTCGTGGGACGCGGCCCGGAAATCTCGCTTCCCCCTCCAAATATTGCTTAAGAAGGAGAGAGAATCAGCCCGGGGCTGCGTCTCACCACTTGCTGTGCGCTCCGGAAAGTGGCGTCCAGCAGCATCAGCTTCCAGGGATCGGACACGGAGCTGGGCAGGGGGATGTAGATGTAATAGGCGGCCAGCGCCACCAGGGCGGTGAGCAGGACACAGGACGACCTCATCCTCCGCCGGCTCGGCTGGCCCGCGGGTGGACGAGGGAGGAAAGGTCTACGGCACCCGAACACCTCCAGCAAGTTTCTGCGAGGATCAGCCGCTCATTCACCGGTTTCTTATACGCCCAGGAGCCAATCAGAGGCGGCGTAGGGAGGAAGTCGGAGCGCTGACGTGCCCCCTGTTGGGTGCCCTTGCACAGTGTTGCCGACGCTCCAGGTTGGAGAGAGCTCGGGGGGCTGAGCTGGGCGAAGCATAGCGGGCTCTGGAGGACGCATGTCTGCACTGCACGCCTGTGACTAAGGGCTCCCTCCAGAAGGATCCCAAACTGAAAACGGGAATAGTTTCAGTGTGATGAGTCTCCTTGTGGGTGCAAAGCACGTGGGCTATTCTGACTCAAAATGGAGAGACTGAGAAAGAGAATAAAAACCCACGGTCTTCCAGAGCCACACTTGCAACGGATACGTGATGAAAAAAGATAATACATTTCTGTAGCTCAGTGACAACCCTGCAGTACATCTAGCGTCCAAGTCTTGATTTCCAAATCTCATTCTCCAGTGAAAAGAACCACGACTCCGCTGGCTCTTTGGAGAAAGGCTGGGGCAGGTAAAGTACTAGATGAGTCTGTTGTGCTGGAAGATAAGGAAGGGCGCAAAAATGATGGAATTGGTCAGAAGGGACACAAGCGACAGCTTGAAGGATCTCCCAATAGCTGGGTAATTTTAGCATCAAAATAAAATGATTAATGGATTATAAATAAGTGAATAAAATACAGGAGTCTATACTCATATACATGAACAAACGGGGAAATGCCACGTGAAAAAATTCTTTCAGTGGGTCAAGGGTAACAGAAAACGCATTTGAATCCCGATTTCCAGTGGGGGAGAGGGTGAATATAGAATGGGGCAAAGAACTTCACCAGCAGAATTACAACCAGAGATCCTGAAGCAAACGCTTCGGAAGAACTGTTTTAAGGAGATGCTAAGAGAACAACTTTATCCAAACTTATTGAAACTTAAATATCCATAAAACATCCCGTACATATAATTTTGCACCTTAATATAGTCTTTTAAATTGAATCTGAGCCAAAGAAGTGATATAGTCATAAATTTGGGACTGATAATGAGACTATTAGGAGAAAACTTGTTTCTTGTTCAAAGTTGGAAGAAAACATTTATATAAAGGGAACACTTCGATAGTGTTTCAAGCATTCAAGTTTGAGATAAAGGTTTTGTGTCTTTTTTTTTTTTTCTGTAGTTACTGGTTAAATAACTCCAAACAGAAAGAGATATATATGTTTGTGGGTGAAAATGTGTATATAAAGGTAGAAGCCAAGTCTTTATGGGTGATTAGAAATAATCCCAGAGATATGGATCAAACTGACTACTTACTTTCAGGTAATCCGTAAAATGACTCCAGGTTTTATCTCTCAGACTTCAATATTTTCTTCCTGGATTTTGACTGTGTTCATAAAACCATAGTTCTTAGAGCTGTTGACAAACCACAACCACCCTCCCCACATCTGACTCATCCTTCCATTGTCAGCAGTAGTAACGAGCTCAGTTTTACAGATGAAACTCTCCAAGCCCAGGGCAGCTTGCCCATTAGTCCTCTGGTGTGTAAGTGACGGAACCGATATTTACCTCTCCTGCCTCCTAGGGCAGTACAGCTTCCCTTAAGCAGTACACTAAGAGAACCCCGAAGGAACAGAGAAACTGCTATAAGTCTCAGTGCTTCTGTAAATCTCAGAGTTTTAAAAAATGAGACCAATCTGAGATAAACTTAAATGTCTTCGTTACTTGTATCCAGTACTTCATACATTCAACAAATATACCTGGCCCACCCTAGGAAGTAAAGGAGTGCGGCAGGGCAGGTGGTTCTCTATTCTTTTTGGTTTTACATGCTCGGTGGTGACAGCAGTGGTCTGGAGAATGTAAGTTAGGTACGGAAAGATGCTCTGCAATAAGATAGAAGTTGGGGTCTTGGACCAGAGGTAGTTATTGCTTAAAATCAGGAACATTCCATTTTCTAGAAACTTCTGTGCTCTCCAGGTAACTGAATGTTATTTTGGTATCCTTGGTAGATCTACCTACCAGAAAAGGTGTGGCCTATGCAGATAACTGGTCATACATGTCGGTCCAGAGGTGTATTTGATGGAAAGTAGTGAACTGGTGGTAATCAGGGTTCCAGGCTGTGAATTTTAATGTCATCTTAAAATAAATTCCAAACTCCTTTCCAGACCTATCAACCTGGCTGGTTGCCTCTGCCTACCTCTGTAACTCCCGTCTTGGCCTCCCCACCTGTCTACTATGCTGTAGCTGCACTGGCTTCTTTCCTATCAGATAAACTAGGGCTTTCTGCCGCTGGGTCTTTATGCCTGCCATTTCAGGCTGTTTCGTCTGCCTGGCATTCTGCCTCCTACTTGGCTCACTCTTATTATTGGGATATCTGCTTAATGTCACTTCCTCAGAGTGACAGTATTTTATAAAGTTTAGCATGTAATTGGGCCCCAAAGCTTCTTAAGTGCCTTCTGTACCTGCTAACTGATGACCTAGCAATAGAATATTTGCCTGCTTAAAAGGCAATCTTTCGGGTGAGTTGTGGTTTAGTATCTTTTCTCCATTTTCCATTTTTTTTTCAGATTTTCAAATGGAGTCAAATAAGTATGGGTACCATATTTAAGGTTTATATTCTTATAATCCCTGAGAAAGTGATTTCATAATTCTTGATATAAAATGGCTCCTTCCATTTTATGTGTGCATCCAAGAACCAGATATCTTTTCATGGTGTATGTATGAAACTATGTATCAAGGAATTGATAATATTCAAACTTATATACTATCACAATATGTTCTATTACCTTATCATCTTTGGGCATAGATGTCATTTATTTTCTAAAGTCTGCAGACATTTTCCAATGACCTACTAAGTATTGAACATTGTATCATGCTTGGAGATAGGACAGTATCCCTGCATAGAAGGAGTTCTTAGCCTGGTAAGACAGAAGATAAATAGTAAACAAGAAAATTAAAGAAAACTTGCTAAGCGCTATAGTACAGGTATAGAAAGAATAGACTTCAAAGGTAAGTAGATGCATATTAGACAGACGTGGGAAGAAAGGCATATGCTAGCATTCTGTGTAATCTAAGGTCTGGAGAATGTTCCATATACACTTGAGAAGAATGTGTATTCTGCTGTTGTTGGATGGAATGTTCTGTACATGTCTGTTAGGGCCATTGGTCTAAAGCATGGTTCAAATCCAATGGTTTTCTTATTGATTTTCTGTCTAGATGATCTATCCATTGTTAAAAGTGGGGTATTAAAGTCCCCAGCTATTTCTGTATTGTCTCTTTCTCCTTTCAGTCTGTTGGTATTTGCTTAATATATTTGAGTGCTCTGATGTTGGATCCATATATATATTTAGGATTATTACATCTTTTAAATGAATTGATCCCTTTATCATTAGGTATTAATATTACATTAGCACTGTTTTAGGATTTTTTCCCCTGAAGTTTGTTACTCAGGTATGGAAATTTTATATACAAAGTAAAAAACGATATGGCAGAACTTTGATGCATTTAAATATTTTAAATATCTATTATTTAACATACCAATATAAAAATCCATTGACAAAAATAAATACAGTTTAACAATGTTCATGTTCATGAAGCAGAAAATACAGCTAGTAAAGAGATACATAGGAAAATGTTTAACCTTACAGAGTCAAGCAATGTAAAATAATTTTCAGGGTCCTGTTATTCCTCCAAAAAATTATGAAGAGAGAATAGATCATAGATGAGAATAGATGTTATAAGAGGTAGGTAAATGCACAGTATCCAGCTTACTTTTATAAATGATGCCATGATATGAATCCTTATATAGAAAAAATTCCTTAATAAAGATTATTTAAAAAATAGGTATATATATTTAAAAATAAGTTTTTTCTACATATTAAAACAAGTAAATACTGTATCTAAATGTAAATAGAACACTTAGCTTTTAAAATAATATAGCGGTGCCTGGGTGGCTCAACTGGTTAAACGTACAACTTCATCTCAGGTCCTAATCTCACGGTTTGTGAGTTTGAGTCCCATGTCAGGCCCTGTGCTAACAGCTCAGAGCCTGGAACCTGCTTCAGATTCTGTGTCTCCCTCTCTCAGCCCCTCACCTGCTAGTGCTCTCCCTCTCTTTCTCTCAAAGAATAAACTTAAATTTAAAATAGTTTAAAAAGAAGATACTGCCACAAATGACTGCTTAGATTATAATAAGCAAATATGTATTCTGACAATAATTATGTTTAAAAAATGCAAAAAAGCTTAAATACAACAACTGGAGGTAAATACACTTGAACCTCAGATGCATTTATGTTTATGTAGAACTATGAATAATTTTATTTTCTTTTTATTACTTTGAGTTTTTCAGTTTTCTTCATTCATTCCTGTATAATAGTGTCTTAAAAATAACTTAGAAACGGGAGGTCACAAATGCCTAAGAAAATTGATACTTGGGGGACCCATCTTTTACCAGATAAACCTGAAATTTATTGAAAATTACATCTATTTACATTTATTTATCTAATTTAAAAATTGTATTTATAAAACTATCCTCTATGGTTATCTCAAACTGCCTGTCCTAACAAAGACATTTGGGTGAAGGTTCTTGACTCAGCTGTATGGTAGGCTGTTTATATGACCTTTGGAAAGTTCCCCATCATTCTTGACTCTTAGTTTCTTCATCTGTAGAATAATGGTTTGGATCCAGGATCTCTAAGATTCCTTCTAGCTCTAAGAGCTACCAGTTATATGAGAATGCAAATACAAGCTAAACATATTACAAAAGGCACTTTAAATTAAGGCTTTAGAAATATACTTTTATAAGAAAAATGTAAAAGCTACCATGAAAAAGTAATTTATGTGGAAAAAAGCAAGGAATGTTACAATATAGTTTTAGTTCAATAAATGATCATTGTCAAATCACAGAAATGTGTATTTGGCAAGAAATTCTATCATTGGGGAAAAAAAACATAGAGCATAATTAAACTCTTCTAGATTCATTGGCCTAAAGTTATTTGTCCT